GAGCTAGGTATACGATCACTGGTCGCCAAATGACTAAATCTAATGCTTACTACATAGTATCCTTTGGTCATATACGGAAGATCATGACGGAACAAAACGCACATATCTAAGGGAAGGGTTCAGCGTGACTCGGAAAGAATGCTATCGCCCCGCGTTAGACCGTCTTTTATGCCTTGATGTCTGAATTTACGAAGCAAGTCCTCATACAGCTCAAGTTCAAAATACTTGCAAAGCAGGTGAATCTGACTTATATAAGATCCTAGGCAAAAAAATCATGAAAACAAATGTCCGGAATCTTGATTCCCTTTTCAGAGGGTAGTCGACATGTTTTCGTAATGCTCCATTTTCGCAATGGTTCTGATGAATCCTTTTGACTGAGTTATTTTCTTATGGCAGTTTCGAGCTGAAGCCGTGGAAAAATTGGTCGAATCTCAGGTATCATTGTCTCACTGAATGGGGAACAAAATTCGGTGCAAATGCATCCACTCGTTATCACATAGTCTGTCTGCCCGCATCATGTCTATCAGATTCTGAGAGGTTAATGTTTTGGCCAATACGAAAAGATGACTATAAATCTATTATCTCAGCCTCAGCACGAATCCTACAGGACTGCAACTCGAATTAGAAGCTGCCACAAGATTCTATTAATTTCGATGCGTTTTCAATTGCTACGACTGGTTGTGGAAGATATTTTGATTTCATTCAAACATTCACAAACAGCTTTCCGTTCCGCACCATCGTAACATTCAATTAGGTCAATGCTATATCTTACTTGGGACTAGCATGCGATCTGCTCCTATGGTCGCTCAAAAACAACAACATGAGTTGCACGTTGTGTTAACTATCATATCAGATAATCAGATATCAGGTGGGTCAGATAATCGCCGTCCTTAGAGGCGCTCGCGTTCGATAGCGTGGCCGTACGTCTCACTCATTCTGACAATATCACACCAGAACATCTTGCTGCTGTGTTGTTGGAAAGCCAGTGGCTTGCTAGCCATTTCTCGACTAGTTGCGAACGCATCGTTTGTTTATAGGAA